CATTCTAGCTAAACCAAAATAACGTGACCCTCAGCACGCGTTGCCAGCTCTTCGATCAGTTCCAGGACCGATTGTCCCAACATGCAGTCAAAGTGAACTTCCTGCGCTGGGTTCACCGCCAACACCATCCCAACCGCAGAGGTGTTCGCCACATCAAGAAAAAGACATTGAAGGTGGCGTCTCATTGAGCAACATGTTTTTTTTTATGCTCTGTTCAAAATTTCATTGGCTAAAGTTTACTCTTGTGAGTGTGATTTCTATAAAAAAAAATTTAAATCCTTATCCAGTCTTTAAAGGGGTCATATGATGTTGCTAAAAAGAACATTATTTTGTGTATTTGGTGTAATGAAATGTGTTTAATGTGGTTTAAGGTTCAAAAAACACATTATTTTCCACATACTGTACATTATTGTTTCTCCTCTATGCCCCGCCTTTCTGAAACGCGTCGATTTTTACAAAAAAATTACAGAAAAAATCACGTAATTACCAGAAAGATGCCTTCGCAAACACAGCAGTTTTGAGTTATGGTTTAGTTACTTTGATATGTGTTTGTAGGTCCCCAATGCCATTAAAAATCACTACCAAAATCCCCCTTTGCTGGTGGATCAAGTGTGTCTTCACAATGGAGAGCTGGTCACGAACGGTTTCATGGAACAAGAACGTTCTTCTCAACATTTAACTAGCGAAGAGGAACAAGAGGAGGTAAATGCACAGAGTGATTGTGTAACAAATTTAACTGCTGTAATATAAATTTGAGTGCAAAAGTATTTTGTATCATTCAGCTTTTTTTTTCCCTTTCCACAGTGGCTACGTCATGTCATTGCACTTCAGTGTAGTATTATGAAACATTTATCTGCTAAGCAGATGTCATCTTCTCTCCGGGACTCGGAGCAGACCGATATGTCAGATGTGAAGACACAGGAATCTATGGAGATGCAGGACCTCAGCTCTCAGGATTCTGACTGCCTCCAGCTTAGCGGTACACAAGTTGGCCCCCAGGGGGCCCCTGTGCTGCCCTCTCTATCACCCGAACAGTCTGAAAGTTGCAGAGAAAAATCTTGTCAGGGTGATGCTGACAGTCCAGCGGAGAAGGGCACGGGAGTGAATGGGCCAGTGGTGTGTGACAGGCCCAGCAGCCCCTCTACACTACCAACTCCAGCACTCTCAGAACCAGCCCTGCCCAACCATGTAGACATAAAGACTGAGAGCAGCAGTCCCCTCAGCTCCTGTATGCAGAGAGATACTCCTTCATCTACCAGCCTTGCTGCCCATCATAACAGCTCAGCTGTTGGGAACTCCTCTTCAGGGCTGAACAGCAGCTTGTCATCTCAAAGTAAAGGTATTTCAGCCTACATCACTCTATACATAATTTTCCTTTGGCTGTGCTCTAGAATTAACAATCACCATAATCCTTGTTTCCCTACAGACAAATGGGTAATAACTCTTTTAATATATATTGCACAAGAATTGCCATACACTATCATTCAATGGTTTGTTCAGTGTTTTTGAAAGAAGTCTCTTATGCTCGCCAATGCTGCAGATATTTGATTTTTTTTTAATTAAAATTTATTTATTTTTTTTTTAAGTAAAATGTAACTATTAATGTAACTGTTTTCTAATTTAATATATTTTCAAATATAATTTATTAATGTGATGGCAAAGCTACATTTTTATCATCCATTACTCTTCAGTGTCACATGATCCTTCAGAAATCATTGTAATATGCTGATTTAGTGCTCAAGAAACATTTCTTATTACCAGTTTTTTTTTTTAGGTAACATAAATGTCTTGACCATCAGTTTTGTTTAATTGAATGCATCCTTAATGAAAGAATGTTTTTTTTTGGTTTGTTTTTTTTTGGTTTTTTTACGTACTGACCATAAATCTTTAAACTGTGTATTTTTTTAGTTGCTTTAGTGTTGTCTGAAATTTTATTAGCATTTGACAAAGCTGCTGGATAAATACGATAAGAAATTTTTCCAAGTAGTCTTTTTCCCCCTCAAAATTACTAAAATAATTGTTAAAAAAACTGAATCATTTAGTGGAATATGAATCAGAAAGTGTTTCAAATCCAAAACCTAATATCAGTTTTCCAAATTAAAACTGAGTTTGAGTTGTTTTTTCAGTCCACAAAATTTATTATTTATGTCTTGTTTTTCCAGAGAACAAAGTGAGCCCAGATGTGATGCCTGCTGGGAAAGGCTCGGTGCTCCCGTCCTCTATAGGCAGCTTATACAGCTACATCAAGAATGTGGTTCAAGGCGATGCAGGTAAGAGATCCCCTTCAGTCAGACCTGATTTTTAAATGAAATATTTAATTAACAAATAAAAATGATAATCTTGCACTGGTTTTGAGGAATTAAATTATTTCTGTATTGTAGAAGTGGACATGAATGTGCTGGATGAGGAGTTTATCAGACTCCTGGCTTGGCAAAGAATCCAACAGCTGTTGTCTCCCAAATCACTTCAACCCTCAAATAAATGTGGGATTCCTCCAGCCGTCACTGCCTCGCTCCCTAAACCTTCCCCTCATGCAGACGGTAACAAAACTCGCCCATTACGTCATGTTGAGGCTGTGCTGTTGCCCCTCCAGTCATAATATAGCAAGTCTTTGCTCTTTTGCAGCACAAAAAAGGGACGTACAAGCTCGAGCAGTACTGTGTCCTTTAACAGGAAAAGGGGCAGCTATCAACATGTGCTTAAGGACTCTGTACATTGGAACAGGTACAGTTTGCTACAAGAGACATTACATTTGCATTGTTTTGAATAAGATTCATTAAGGTTCATGCTTTGTTTTTGTTTCAGGTGCTGAAATGGATGTGTGCCTTACAAACTACGGTCATTGCAATTATGTTTCTGGGAAACATGCCTGCATCTTTTATGATGAAGTGAGTGTTATCCGTAATTATGCTTCATTAAAGGCTCTTGGGAAGCTCATTTTAATTTAATTGTCCAGATTTAACAGATAAAGGGAGATGAATGCTTCTAAATGTTATTTAATCTCTCGTAGAACACGAAGCATTATGAGCTTCTGAACTACAGTGATCATGGGACGACTGTAGATAACGTGCTTTACTCATGTGACTTCTCCGACAAACCAAACATCACTTCACCCTATGGACTCGCGTCCAAAGTAAACCGCATCAGTGAGTACCGCCCATATCTTGTTTTTGTAATGCGTGATATGATTGTAGTAATGCATTCTATCTGGTTTGGTAAATCTGCAGGAGGTAACAGGTCAAGGAAACCGCTTGGTGAGATGTGTGCAGAGACGGTGATGATGCCCGCAGGTGGTATAATGAGCAGCCAGGCTCAAGGAGGACCCAAATCACCCTGCAACTGTAAAGCTAGCAGCTCCAGCCTGATAGGGGGCAGCGGAGCCGGCTGGGAAGGCACTGCATTGCTCCACCACAGCAGCTGCATCAAAGTGGGCTGCATGCAGTTCCTGTTCAGCATCACAGAGTTTGCTAGCAACCAACCCAAAAAAGAGACGACATCCACCAGCGTTAGCCAAGAAGAGACTGAAGCGGTTGACGCACAGACTCCCAAACTCCACCAAATACCAGTGCTACAGTGCAAGCCTGTATCATAACCCCTCTTCTCCTTCAAAATTTCAATGGACCGCAAATGCAGTTTGGATTAGAGGTACTTTGATAAAGCGGTTAATTCATTCATTCATTTGTATAGAGGTATTTTGGGGGCTGGGAGTTATGGACAAAGTGTTTGCACATTACATTTCTATCATTTTTTTTATGCAAAACCTTTTGACTGAAAAGCAAACGTTCAATTTTCCCCTAAATCTCACTTGTCGACACCACACCCTGTATACTTTGTGTCAGTACAAGGGGTTTTTATGTACTCTTTTGAACAATATATTTACTCCAAAATATTTTATTTTGTTATAAAAATGTATTGTTCTTTTTCTGCAGTTTTTGCACACTAGGTAACTATATGCAGAAGTGCATACATGTGCAAATACCTTTGTAGGATTTACTAGCAGAACCATTGAGCGTTCTAGTTTCTTCTGGAACTGTCCATTTCTCTGTAGTGTTAGAGCCTCTGCAGCCTTAGTTGTGAAGTTCATTTGTGTATAAAGCTAGTTGTTCAACTAAAATTGTCTCTTTTGGTCATGTACATGTGACTGAAGTGTCATTTTGTCAGCAAGAAAACATCTGACATATGTCATTGCATTGTAAATATATAAAGATTTTTAAATAACAGACCATGTCATGGTTTTTGTTATAATTCAACCAGAAATGAAAATTCTGACACATACGCATGTTGTTCCAAATCTGTATGACTTTTAAGTTAAAGTGATAGTTCACACAAAAAATAAAATTGTCATGTACTCACCCTTAAGTTGTTCCGAAAATGTATACATTTCTTTCAGCTGGTGACACAAATGAAGATATTTTAAAGAATGTTGACAACCAAACAGTTGAAGGTAGCCATTGACTTCCATAGTAGTATTTTTTTTTCCATACTATGGAAGTCAATGGCTACCTTCAACTGTTTGGTTATCAACATTCTTCAAAATATCTTAATTTGTCTTCAGCTGCAGAAGAAACAAACTCATACAGGTTTGGAGCAACTTGAGAGTGAGTAGGCCTAAATTTTAATTTAAGAATTTTCATATTGGGGTGTACTATTACTGGAAAAAATTGTTGCTCAGCAGGTACATGCTAATTTAATGGAGAATAACTTGTTTGAGCAATTTCAGTCTGCCTATCGTCCATATCATAGCACGGAGACAGCACTTATTAAAGTCACAAATGATTTGTTAATGGCTGCGGATTCTGGACTTTTATCAATACTCATTCTTCTCTTTTTAACTGCAGCTTTTGACACTATCTCACATAGTATTTTATTGGAGAGGTTGATTTCTATTGGAATTACTGGTATCCCCCCTGATTGGTTTAAATCATATTTATCTGGTCGGACTAAGTTCGTTCAGATAAAAAAAAATTAAATCGCGGATATCTCAGATGACCAGTGGTGTGCCTCATGGCTCAGTTTTGGGCCCTCTTCTGTTCATTATTTATTTATTGCCTCTAGGACAGATTTTCCGTAAATTTAATATAAACTTTCACTGTTATGCAGATGACACCCAGCTCTATATGTCTTCGAAGCCTAATTCAGTATTACCGTCTTCCTCTCTTTTGCTTTGTCTTTCTGAAATTAAATCATGGTTTAGGCCTACATGCAATTTTCTCAAAGTTAATAGTGAGAAGACTGAAATCTTATTAGTAGGTACTAAATCAAAACTGCATAACCATGGAAGTTTTACACTTACTATCGACGATTCTGTTATCTCTCCTTCTCAGGTTAAGAGTCTGGGTGTCATCCTTGTCTTTTGAGGCACATGTAAATAATTTTACACGGTCATCATATTATCTGCGAAATATCAGTCGTCTTCGACCATCTCTTTCTGCTAATGATACTGCTGTCCTTGTGCATGCATTAGTTACATCTCGAATTGATTACTGTAATTCTCTTCTCAGTGGTGTTTCACAGAAACTTATTCATAAACTTCAGATGGTTCAGAATTCAGCAGCTCGGATCATTACACGAACACCGTTGAATGAGCATATTACTCCAGTTTTAAGGCACCTTCACTGGCTTCCAATTAGATATCGAATCCAATTTAAGATTTTACTTTTCACTTATAAGGCTCTTCACAATCTAGAACCTTCATATCTGAGTGAACTTCTTCATGTGTATTCACCTACCCGATCTCAGGTCTTCTGCTTCTGTGACTCTTGTACCATCTGTACGTTTGACTACCATGGGAAGTAGAGCCTTTAGTTGTATTGCTCCGACGATTTGAAATACTCTACCTCAGGACATACGTAATTAAGAGACTAAAACTATTCTTCTCATTTTTTTAGATTAGCCTATCCTGAGTGATTTAGTTATGTTATTGGGTATTGCTTTTCTTTGTATTATTGTTTGTGTTGTATTGTTTTGTTTTTTTTCTTCTTTTTCTTTAATTATGTATTTTATTATTGTAAGGTGTCCTTGAGTGTCTTGAAAGGTGCCCATAAATAAAATGAATTATTATTATTATTACTATCCCTTTAAGAATGTGTGTAAAAGTGAAGAGATAACTAAGAGTAACAAGTGAATTTTGTCTAGCAGGTAGTGAGGGTTGATTACAAGTGAGTTGATTACAATCACTGTACTGAATGTGCCTTTTTTTCCCCCTTTTTTCTCTTTTAAAAGTTCAGTTATGTTGCTGCTATTATTCACAGCCTACTTTATGTATTGGGACTATTAAAGTAAAGTCAGATGATTTTCACATCTATTTTAACCATGGCTTCTACTAAAATATTAGTCGCTGGTAATATTAAGACATTGGATTTATGTGGTCCCACCATGAATCTTTTATAGAAGCAAATAAGTTAATCCTTTAATTACTGTGATCATTGTACCTTTGAGCTGTATAGCTACTAAATGTTTTTGTTGTTGTTTCACGTTATAAGTTGTTTAATCATTTCCAGCTTATGCTTTTGCGTAATGTAGGCTAATGTTAAAGTGTTTATTTTATTTTGGCGGAAGAAAGTAATTTCCATAAAACATTTCTGTTACAAAATGTTATCATAAGAGCAAACAGGTTTACCAAATAGTCAAGTCACCTTTATTTATATAGCGCTTTTAACAATACAGATTTAAATACCCGCTAAATACCCTAACAATAAATTGTTAAATACCCGCTACCGCATTTTGCATGGTTTTATAAATGAAGGTTCCATGTAAACACTAAATGTATTATGTGGGTCCTGTCCTGACCCCCCGGTATTACAGAAATATTATGTTAACAAGTGCCTCCGTTTTTAAAACATATCTGTCTACTCGTGTTGATTTTACGTCATTTCCTTAATCAACAACCTAAAATTACTGATTTCAAATGTCATTACAAAAGCAATTCGTCCTGTTGATCCGGTTACTGCAACAGGTTGGGTTTGGCAAGTATTGCAACCCCGGAATAGACACTGGGATATTGTGGATTGTTGTTTTCGTGCTCTTTTTTATGTTGTATTTCACATTCGAAATGGCAGAAGAGATATTGCTGATCGCGGGTGTCGCGATTGCGGTGCTGATGATATTTCGTATATACAGGTGCATCTCAATAAATTAGAATGTCGTGGAAAAGTTCATTTATTTCAGTAATTCAACTCAAATTGGGAAACTCGTGTATTAAATAAATTCAATACACACAGACTGAAGTAGTTTAAGTCTTTGGTTCTTTTAATTGTGATGATTTTGGCTCACATTTAACAAAAACCCACCAACTCACTATCTCAACAAATTAGAATACTCCATAAGACCAATAAAAAAAACATTTCTAGTGAATTGTTGGCCTTCTGGAAAGTATGTTAATTTACTGTACATGTACTCAATACTTAGTAGGGGCTCCTTTTGCTTTAATTACCGGAACTTTTCCACGACATTCTAATTTATTGAGATGCACCTGTATGTACGTGGAGCGCAATGCAAAAGTAAGGCAAAACTGCATGGCAAGACGGTCATCGTTACAGGTAAACGCGCCACTTTTTATTTCTTTTTTAAGAATTTGTTTCAAGTCAATACGTTTGTCAGTCGTTTAAAAGCACACTTCATGTAAACTTTGTGCAGGTAGTAACACTGGCATCGGTAGAGCCACAGCGGTGGATTTAGCGCAGAGAGGCTCGAGAGTCATTCTGGCCTGCCGTAACCAAATACGCGGCGAAGCTGCTGTTGTGCAAAGAGTGAGAGCATTGCCTTAAAATCTATTTGCCTGTGAGGCTAAGTTACTAAATTAATCTTATTATAATTATAGATCATATGTTTTGGTTTTCACTCAGGAAAGTGGAAGTAAAAATGTGGTGTTCATGCAGCTGGATTTGGCCAGTTTGAAGTCAGTGCGCTCCTTTGCAGAAACTTTTCTCAAGACAGAAGACTGGATATTCTCATCAACAATGCAGGTTTTGTTTAAATCACAAGCATATCATAAAATATAATATAGGCCTCGTTATTTCTATATTTAATTATTATATACACTAGCATTCAAAAGTTAGGGGTTGGTAAGATTTTTGTTTGTTTTTGAAAGACGTGTCTTCTAACCAATTATGCTTTTCTTTGATCAAAAATACAATAAAACTATAATTTTTAAATATTATTGCAATTTAAAATATCTGTTTTCTACTTTAATATATTTGAAATGTAATCCAGTCTGCAGTGTCGCGTGATCCAGAAATTATTCTAATATGCTGATTTGTTGAAAAAAAATTCAGTTGTTCTTAATGAATAGGAACATTTGAAACCGAAATCTTGTAACATTATCTCTTTACTGTCACTTTTGATCAATTTAATGTATCCTTGAATAAACGTATTAATTTTCTTCCTTAATCTTCTTACTAACCCAAAACTTTTGAAAGTTAGTGTATATTAATATTTATTAATAAAAAAAACAATATTTAGTGTGGGCTTCATTGTATATCACTGCATGTAAAACCATCCTGGTGCTGGTTTTGTGAGGAATATTAATCAAATTGTATACCAAATCAATATTTCAGACAGAAATCTATATCAAGTCCATCTATAACGCATATAATCTGTATTTCAGGAGTTTATATGCAGGCACTACTGACGATGGTCTTGGTGTTATGTTTGGTGTTAACCACCTTGGTCACTTCTTTCTGACTAACCTGTTGTTGGACAAATTGAAAGAGTGTGTGCCAAGCCGCATTGTCACTGTATCTTCATATTTACATAATTATGGTAACCTTGACTTTGACACACTTCGAACTCACAAGGAGTTTGGAGTAGGTGAGTCTCCTGGGAGTGTCTTCTGGATATATTCACACAGCAAACTGTGTAATGTGCTCTTCACACATGAGCTCGCAAAGATGCTACAAGGAACCAACGTGACCTGTTACAGCCTCCACCCAGGTCTGTGTCCCTCTAACATCATAACTGGTATTTTAGTTTAGTATAGCATCACAGTTTGAGTCAACACAACTCATTTTAAAGGGGTCATATGATGCTTTTTTAAAGATCATTATTTTGTGTATTTGGTGTAACATAATATGTTGACATGCTTTAATGTTCAAAAAACACATTATTTTTCAAATACTGTACATTATTGTAGGTCCTCTATGCCCCACCTCTCTCAAACACTTCGTTTTCTACAAAGTCCCTCCTTCCGACAAGCGCAGTCTGCTCTGATTGGCCAGCTGACCCAGTGCATTGTGATTGGCCGA